CTTACACCTCAAGTCATATGTAATATATATTCCCCTTGGGCTTTCAATAAAGATAAGTTGCTTTCCTAACAGATATATCCCATGTTATCAACATTCTTTAGTGTTATGCCAAGACCCTGAGAAAATGGTTTCAAGTAAAGTGATAAATCTCCTAAATCTTTACATTACATGTCTCATGCTTTAGTATACTTGGAACTGGGCGTTGAGCAGTTGGCTAGTGGGGTGCGGCCGGCTCGCACCCAGCCCTCCACCCCCGTTCAAGCCTTGGGCTCCTCATGGTGTGTGCCTCAGTTGTTACTTTTTAATAACTGTTGGTCTCATTTTTTTCTTTAGTATACTTAATTATTATTTCTTGCACTATCCATATCAGGGATGAATCTGGTCTCCCAAATTTCCAAGTTTTCATAACTTAGTGTGCAATACATCATCAAATTTCCTATTTAAACTCTGAAACCTATCATGCACTTATGCCAAAGGGAATGCTGGTTCCCTGGACACCAAATGATTTCCTTCAGTCTCTCAAACTTTGCTGAACCCTTCCTCAAAAAAACTTTGCTGAACCCTTCCTCAAAAAAACTTTGCTGAACCCTTCAGTCCTTTGTGCCCTATTTATAATGACCTAATCCTCCTTATACAGGTTGTTGTGGCTACTATAGCATTTGGCATGGGAATTGACAAATCAAATGTCAGGAGAATTATTCACTACGGTTTACCGCAGGTTAGTTTGGCCTCCAGTGGTGTATTCCCTTCTGAACAGTATTTTGCTGTCGACATGCGTGTATGTCTCTGTGAAAAATGCATGACTTTGTTGTTCTGGACTTCTGACATGCATAGAAAAATGTTTCCACATACTAATTTAGTTGTTTATATAAATACCTAGAAGGCTCATATGTCATGCATCCAAAGACCTGCTCTGATAGTGCTTTTTTTTGCGACAATGCTCTGATAGTGTGGATGTTAGGCAGAACAAGACATTTAGAGCTTATATATATATGTCGGCATGCCAAGCTTGAAATTTACAACTGCTGATTGGTTAGTGAACCACAACACTGAAAAATTAGTCCCAGGTTGGATTACTGACCTAACAATCTAATATCATGCAGAAAGGTTGATTTAATTACTCTCTTTCTCTGGTTCAAATACACCCAAGTTGGGTTAACTTTTGGTTGTGTTTATTCTTTGTGTCTGAAGTTCTCTTGGCCCTTGTTAATCCAGAGTTTGGAAGCGTATTATCAAGAAGCTGGTCGTGCTGGTAGAGATGGGAAGTTGTCAGATTGCAGTGAGTTCTTATACTAAAGACTTGCTGTAATGTCGTTTGGCTTGTTTCTGGACATAATGAAGAAATGATGAATCATATAGCTAACTAGAGAGTATTTATATGTATTGTATATGCTTACTTGCAACCAGTTTAAGACCCCAGGATGGTGAGTGAACTGGACATGAATTGATTCACCAGTTTGGTTGTTCGACTAGTGGTTCAGTTGGTCCGACTGTCAATCCTGACTATTTATGGGCTTGGATCTTTTTTTTTCAAAGCAAAGGATGTTAAATTATTATAAAGCAATAAGATATTTTATTTGAAGTTTTTCTAAATTAATCCAGAAATGGAAATTAAATTCTTTCTCTTTTAGGCTAAATCAGAAGGGGAACCTTGGTGCAGTGGTAAAGCTGCTGCCTTGTGACCATGAGGTCACGGGTTCAAGTCCTGGAAACAGCCTCTTACAGAAATGTAGGGAAAGGCTGCGTACAATAGACCCAAAGTGGTCGGACCCTTCCCCAGACCCTGCGCAAGCGGGAGCTACATGCACTGGGGCTGCCCTTTTTAGGCTAAATCAATTCCAAAGCCATTTACATTAATTAAAACAACTCCAGGTAAAATATAGCATTACTTTGTAACACTGTAACATCCTTTGCTTTGTAAGAAAACAGACAAAAAAGGGTCAGGATGTTACAGATTGTGATTCAAATTATTGAAACTAACTTGATTTTGAGATGATATGCAGAAAGAAGTGTTTAATATCTATTATCTCCCTGCCGTGACATGAACGCCTGGTAGATGTGAGCTTTGATTCTGTCAGCATGATGGAATTGTATTGCTAACCAGTGGCCACACCACATGGGCATAGATAAGAGATACTTTAGGAGGGTTAAGTTTATTTCGTGCTTAATCATGACACATTCGAAACTCATCTTATATAGATGATGGATATGACACATCAGAAAACTGAACTTACATTTAGAGATTAAATAATATTTCCAAGTGACTATTTATTATCCCAGGAAACTTAACCAAAATATTCGGTGAAACAGATAGTTTGGAAAAGCTTTCACAATACTTGCCACGTAACATTGCTACAAGTCAACGCCTTGGTACTATCTGTTCGTGTTACAGTTCTATGCTTGAATAATACCCTAGGTCTTAGTGAACATGAGTGACAACACATCTGTAGAGACAATTTTGTATTTCAGGTTTATAAAATAAGTATAAGGGTAATATTCTAGAACATCTTTTTCTATTGGATGAATAGCAGACCTTTATTACTGTCAGTAGATTTTAGTGGGCCTTCACGCAAAAAGTTTATTGTTGTGTATTTGTCTAATACAAAGTATATATTGGACTCCAAAGCTTTTGGTATCAAGCAGTATTTTTATCCTTTGTTATGAAGCTTGCTTTATTCCTCTCTGCACAATTTCACTTGTTTCTTTTACATTGTTTATTGGCAGCTTTATATTGTAATTTTATGAGAACACCGACATTGCTTCCTAACAAAAGAAGCGACGAACAGACAAGGGCAGCATATAGAATGCTACGGGATTGCTTTCAGTATGTCTCAGAACCATAAATTCAAACCCTGGCGATATCCTAAAACGTATATTCATTAATTCCGTGACTTAATCGCCGTGTAAATTTTCTATATTGCAGCTATGCTTTGAACACTTCAACATGTAGAGCCAGAATACTAGTAAAGTACTTTGGTGAGGAATTTGGTCCTGACGGGTGCCAAATGTACTTTTCTACTTTCTCCATGCATCTTCCCCTTATTTAAATGAAATAAGCACATGCTTCTTCCAGTTTTGTGGGTATTTAGTAGTACTATATGGTATAATTTAGAAATAAAACATACTATTCCCTCGTTCCCAAAAGACAAGTCATTTAACTTTTGTATGAAGTCAACTTTATGAAATTTGACCATCTTTATAGAAAAATAATATCAACATTTACAATACCAAATCAATCTAAGAATATATGTATTAACATTGTATTTATTTGGTATAGTAGATGTTGTTATTTTTATGTAAACTTGTTCAAACTTAAGACAGTTTGACTTTAAACAGAAGTTAAAGCTGTCTGCAGTCTAGATTACTTGTATCAGGCATTCTTCTAATGAAAATAAAGTCCAACGAACTACCACTTTCCTTGACAGGGACATGTGGGGCTCAGGCCTAGATGTCAGTGATTCAACAAGGATCTCTTTAAAACTTGCATTTTCGTCTGTGGCACGAACTAAATTCCTCAATTTAACTTTATTTCATCCAGTATTTATGTGAGTGTCTATTTGACTTGGTTTTCACCTCAGGTGTGACGTCTGTATTAATGGCCCTCCTGAAATGCATGATTTCAAGGAAGAAGCAGTTGTGTTCATGAATGTGCTCCAAGCTCAAGCTGTGAGTACCTTATTTTAATTTTGGTTGACCATATGTCCATATCCTACTCTAGTGCTGAACTGCTGATAAATGCAATGTCTATTACAATTGTATCCACTCTAATATTTCAGTAGCATATAAAGGTTTCTGTTTTCTGTTTTACCTTCTTTAGAAGTTTGTGATCATCTACCCTTGATAGTTAAAACAAGAGATTCTGTTTCAACAGAAAGGTGTGGTCTCACCGCCCTCCTGTCTTAAGGAATATGACATACTAATTCAGTAGTTGCCGAACTGTATTAAGTTGATTGCTCTAGTGATAAATTTTGCAATAAATAAAAGCACAAATGTGAACAAATTATGCATGATTTACCACAGATCGTATAATCCCATTCCATTGTGGTATTATCAGGGTCTACTTTTGCAGTCTGGGTCTTTGAATAGAGCAGAAGTGCTTGATCTGAATGATCTTATATTAGTTTACAGAGGGAGTACATGTTAACGGGATACCAGAGTTATTTTTGTTATTAGAACTGGTTTGCAAATTAGCGGTGGTGTCATCTTTCATTTCTGTTGGGCAGGGAACTTTCATGTAAGGATTTATTTACATTAGTCTATAGCTAGCCTGGCTAAACAGTGGATATATAGACATATGTGTGACGCCATGGAATCCTGGACCCAGCCGATAGGTCTTTCTTGGTTTCCAAGTCTAGTTGGGTTGATTCAGAATCTGTTTAGATCTTTCCTAGTTTGAGTTGGTTCATGTCTTTCCTAAACTGCTGCCAAACTGTGCTATAAAGCTAGGCAGGGTGTAATCAGCTGTGAAAGAATAAACAGAGAAAAGGAGGAGGGTTACCTCCAGAACAGATCTATCACCCAAGGGATCATGGCGCCCAAGCCTAAACTCTCTCGTCCTTGCCCTCCTGACACCCACGATCATCCACTCCATAACCTAGGGTCGTGACATGTTACAATTGTAAGATGCAAGAATGTCCACATTTCTCCTTGTTTTTCTTTACATAGTTTATATCTACAGTACCCTTCCCATTGGATGTCCCTGTATAGGAAAATGTATTGGACAAGGAATTGAGATAATTTTGGTCTCTGCAATGTAATTTTGATTTATATTTTGCTAGTACTCCCTCTGTAGTGATCTAAACGCTCTTATATTAGTTTACGGAGGGAGTACCTTTGAACATTTGATATTGTTGGTACTTTGAGTAATCTTTAACATGCATCCAGGGACAAGCAATTGAAGGTATGGACTACAACAGTACAGACTGTTATATATCTGGAAGGCGAAATTTTGGGGCGGTACCTGATTTCAGAACGATAGTCAGTTATATAAGAGAGAAGGTTTGTGTTCTAATGCATTTCTTCATCTATTATTTTATTTATTTTTAAACTGGGAGCACTGAGACTTCTAGTCTTAAGCCTCACCACGAGTCCGCAACACAAGTACTTCAATTATCTTTTCACTTTCATTCCTACAAGTTTAAAAATTTCAGCTCTCAAAGCTGTTCTCATGACTAATATTTAGTTTTAGATTCCTAGGTTTGCCGTGACAGACAAGATATGGTGGCAAGGCCTTGCTCGTATTTTAGAGGACATGGGATACATACAGGAAGCAGCTGAAATTGTAAGCAATTTACTTCAGTAGTTTGATGCAGTAGTAACTTATCACTAGTGTGAATGTTGCAATGGTTACATGATGAGGTTGTCTCCCCTACTTGTTCCATAAAAAACCAATTGATGTTACTGCAGTGTGCCTCAGTTTTTAGATTCGTCGCATTCACATGATGGGCCAACTAAGATTGAAGTAGGAACATCGAATAGTTCTTTTTTACATGATGTTGAACACATGGTTGCTATCGGCAAGTGATTTACTTGGCCATGTTAAATCAGTTCCTTGATTGTTCAAGTGTAAGTCAGACATATTTCAAGGATGCTATAGTGCTACCACCCCAACTGTACTTGAAGCATCCAAAGTCAGACATATTTTAAGTTGGGGTGGTTATCTGATATGCCATACAGGCAGTACCGTAGTTCTGTTTCTTCTTCTGGTAACAAGAAAATTGTATTTTAACCTTTCGTGGCACAGTATGTGGATGCTCAGAAATTACTAATATTTATTTTGTAAGTCCTTGTTCACCATAATTGGATCAGGTGCCACTATCTTGGTTTACCATTTTCGTCCTAAAGGCAACAGCTTGAAGCCTCTAATTCGGTTTCCCTTTTGTGTACTTCAGATCTTTTTGCTTACAGATGCAGTGATTCCATTAAAATTTCAATTATTCATTTCACGGCCATAACAAGGAAACATTTTGCTGGTATCTGAGATCAAGTCTCTGTACTGATATAGCGATAGCAGAACTCTTACTGACAACAGATTCACACCAGTACGTTAGCGAGTACATAACTTAACTTCTAGATTAACTGTCATACTCCCTCTGTCCCAAAATAAGTGTCACTGATTTAGTACAAAGTTAGCACAAAGTTACTCCTAAATCTACAAAGTTAGTACAAAGTTACTCCTAAATCTACATAGTACAAAGTTACACCTAAATCAGTGACACTCATTTTGGGACGGAGGGAGTATATCATACCATCATACCGTGTAGTGTAACGATGGATGCCAGGTGACAGGCTACAACATATCAGTGATGCTACCTGGTATGAGAAACGCTATTAAAGGTGAACTAAAAGGCTAAGAAAATATTCCGGGTACACTTGTCTGCACATTTTGTTCTATTATTATTTTTCCTTCAGCCCTTCAGTACGTAATTCAGGATAGAATTATGCTGCATTAATGCTAATCTTGAAAATACGGCAGACCTATGTGATGCAAGGAGTATATTAAATGATAGTGCAGTAGTATATGTTGAATTTATTATGGTTTAGCACGGCATTACTTATTTTTTAGTTTATTATGTCATCCTGAGCTGTTGTGGCACAGTAATTCATTAGTTTATTTGTTAGACAAGTTTTCTTTATCACAGCTGATTAATGGACCCTCTTGCAGCCTCGTGTTCTAATCCAGCATCCAGAGCTGACAAGAGCCGGATTAAATTTTCTGAGTTCACAACCAGACAAGGAAGGCTTATACGCATACCCTGATGCCGCTACGTTACTGGCGATTAGTAACCCAAAGTCCTTCTCTTCTTCCTCGGAGTGGGGCAGGGGTTGGGCAGATCCTGAGATACGCCGCCAGCGTCTTGCGGGGAAAACAGGAAGAAGGAAAAGGAAGAGGGGTTCTCGGAGGCAGCCTGCAGGTTTCACCACTGCAAAGGAGAGACTATCAGCAATACTCTCGAAGTCGAAACGCAGAAAGTAACACCAAAAGTGATGAGATCATGAGATGCCAAAAATAATCACATATAGCGAAGTTCAATTCTGCGGCAGTTTTTTTTACGGCAGCAGGCAGGTACAGGTTGCTAAATCTGACACGATAATTGTTCACTGTCATACTTGTTTGGAGATCAGTTGGGATTTTTGTATACTTGGAGATTGCCTACTAATCAGTTGATTTCACAAGTTACCGCGGAGTGTTAGTTTTAAGTGTTTTTCTTTTTATGGTTTCTCACTAGGGTAACTACTTGTAATAGTACAAATGAATGAGGTTACAGGTCACTATTTTGGCAGCCCATGCTCAGTCTGAACGTCAAGACACTGAATATTTTTTTGATTAGAATTTCTTCAGCATCCGTATCATGAACGTGAATGTGAGGAGGTACAGGTCCAGATATTGCTGCCTACTGAGCATGCTAGTATGCTTGTACTGATTCATCTGAACAGTGGATCGTGTCGTCGGTTCTCACATCAAATCCGTAGGGTTTTATCAAACTATGTTCATCCATTTCCCGACTGTTTCGTGCAAACTGATCGTCGGGTCGACACGTAAGGAGCAAACGGGAACTTCTTCTTTGCGCTGGATGGCCACGATGATTCCTACCGTCAGAAAGAAAGAACGTGACTGGAGGTGTCTATCAGTGTATGTGTGTACGATGCCGTCGTTGTCCTGTTGCCTGAAAAATGTCCCAACCTGTCGATGTAAGAGCATCCACATTCCTAGACGCTAGAGGTGAGAAAGATTGGATAGCATGGGTGCCAAGGAATATGAGAAGTTACGCTCAGATAAAAAAGCTAAGCTAGTGATGTGGATCCTCCTGGACCTAAACTTTTTAAAAAAAATCTAAACCTTATCATCTTACATGTGACATCATGCACAATAAGGTATTTTTGACTTGTGTCTCGCCTAACCTGAGTTTTTGAATAGCTCCAAGGATTTGGCCATTGTCAAGATCATTGCCAAATGCGGCGTTACTGTCCTGTACATTTTGATGTCAATCATTGGCCGAACGTTGGATGGGAACAAGAGAACCACCTCTTTGTGAGGTGGACACAGTTGCACATGCTCATATAAACACACATGCACTGACCCATATGAACGCAGACCCACACATCGTATCCTTAAGAGCATCTACGAGATACTGAGCCGGCACAACATTTTAAGATTAACAAAATCATCATAGATGTCTCGTAATCGACAGGAATGTCTTCTCTAACATTATGAACATCATCGAAAAGTCTGGATTTACACGCAGATGATTTATGCTCAGCAGGACAGTGAGATTCATGGATTTTGTTTTTAACAAACCATACACACGATATGCACATCACTCCTCATGCATCGCCTACGGAAGAATGAATTAATGTGGCTTTATGATTGTTGAACTCGTTACGTAAGTCTCGCAATCGACAAAGACATGCTCCTACTATAAGTTATTTGGACTTGACCGGACACAAGATGTCAAAATCTAAGGTTCGGCCTCTAGCGAGTCAAGGGCACAATTATCCTTGGTACCATCCAACCACTCGTCAGATCTCAAGAGATTCATGGATTCATCGTCAGTTTTAAACATGTGGTAAGTGTGCTTGCGTGCACGCATATGCATGTTACGATTGTGTGCAGTAGCACAGTTGCCTGTTCCTTGTAGCCGCGAAAAGCCATTGGATAACATTTTTCTTGGTAAGTTTTCTGGTGCGACCATACAAACAAACAAACTTCCCGCAGAATGATTTGAATCGTGAATCCCGTTGCAAACAACTCGGTTCTTCTTTTTACTCAAACCCGGTAATTTCACACCGGTCAACTCATTTTGGAGCATCTCCAGCAGACGCGCTAGATTTGATGTGCTTGAAAAAAAACATTGTTTTTGCACACGCGAGCCCTGTTGGCGTGCTCCAGCAGGCGCGCGCGGGAAAAAAACGTTGTTTTTGCACGCGCGAGCCTTGTTGGCGCGCTCCAGCAGGTGTGCGAAAGTTTGGCGCGTGCGAAAAAGCGGCAACGGTCGCGACAGTTTTGGTGCACGGCGTCCAGCGCGCTCCATAAAATCCGTGCACGGGCGCCTGCCAACCGCCGTCTCCGTCGCCTCTCTTTCAGCTGCGCCCTTCTTCCTCGCCGCCGCCGGTGCCCCGCCGCCGCCGTGCCCTTCTTGCTCGCCTCCAGCACCTCGCCGCCGCCGCGCCCTTCTTCCTCGCCTTCAGCACACCACCGCCGCCGCGCCTTCTCCCTCCCCCCGCCGCCATGCCCCTGCGCCCCAGAGCAGCTCCGGCTTCCGTCGCCACCCCTCCGGCATGTATTATGCGGAGATCCGCTTTGATGATACACGTCTTGTGCTCGGGACGTTCGAGACCGCCCACGAGGCCGCCCGCGCGTACGACGCGGCGGCGTGGCGCCTGCTGAGGCCACGGGCGCAGATGAACTTCTCCAGCGTGTGGACGCGCGAGCAGGCGCAGGACCTCGCGCCTCCCCCGTGACTAATCACCGCGGAGGATCGCCGCATCCAGCAGAGGCGGGAGCGCCTTCTCCTCATCGCCAAGGCGAATGAGCACGCCATGACGGTGTGGCGCGAGCGCTTCCTGTAGGAGGTTGCCGACGAGAATGAGTTCTGGGCGCAGAGTAGGGCGGAGCGAGCCGCGGAACGGGTGGAGCGGAAGGCACTGGCGGAAGCCCGGTGCAAACTGGGACCTGCGTCGATCTAGGACGAGAATGATCCTCGGTGGGTCGACACGTTTCTGTCGTCGGACTACACCATCGAGGAGGACGAGGAGTAGTTATCTAGTTATCGTCGACGCGTTTATCTACTACTCCCTCCGTCCCAAAATAAGTGACTCAACTTTGTACTAGTTTTAGTATAAAGTTAGTACAAAGTTGAGTCACTTATTTTACAAACTTAGTACAAAGTTGAGTCACTTATTTTGGGATAAAGGGAGTAGTTTTTATCTAGATTTATTTGTATCATATGGACTAACTTGTGGTGTTGGGCTTGAACTATGATATGAAATTTAATCTATATGTTGTTTCATATTTTTCGTACGTGTTGCTCTACTCGCGCACGCTGAATTTTTGCAGCACCTGTTGGAGCTATAGCGGCACGCCATATTTTTTGCAGCGCCTGCTAGACCAAACGCCCTCCTACCTGCTAAAAAGCACTATTTCAGTGCTAAAAAAATTATTTAGCGTGCTGCGCAACCGTGCGCCTGTTGGAGATGCTCTTAGAGCAACTCCAATGGGGCGACCCATTTCGTCCGTCTGTGTCCGTTTGGATCGGCGTGGACAAAAATGGAGGCCCAACGCGCCGACCCAAACCTAAATCTCGTCCGCCTTGCATCCGCACCGGCCCATCTCCGGCCCAAAATCGCACTTGAAATGCGTCGGCGCGGACGCATCGCGCGTCTCCTTGGCGTCCGCCGCATCCCCACCTACAGGCCACGCAAACACCGCCTGTCATCTTATTTGTGACGACCACCGACAGCGGGCCTGCTAGTCAGCCAGTGGAAGCATACTTTTTTAAGCACGCGTGCGGCGGAGGCCGGCCTCATCCACTTCCGTCCACATCTGCCCCCCCCACCACTCCCTTTGCTTCCTCGTCGGTGACAGCAAACCCTAGCAAGCGATGAGTCTCTTCGGCGGCAGCGGCAAGGGAAAGGGCACCCCCGACGCCTCGTCCTCCCGTATTCCTCCCCCTCATTCTCTGGCGCCGGCGCATTTTTGCCCAGGCCACCGGCGCCTGCACATCTCGGTGCACCAAGCGCGGTGGCACTGGGAGTACAGGCAGCCGCTGCCCTACCCCGACGTCACGCTGCCGCACCACTGGCACCTGGATTCGCATCGGATCCCAGTGCCGGCAGTTCCGCGTAGCCAGCGGGCGCACGACGACGAGGTGCACAGGCGCCGCACGCAGCTCATGTCGGAGCAGCGGCGGATGCCTAAGTACGCCGCTGACTCTCCCAACTGGGAGGCATGGTTTGCCCTCGAACATGAGGAGCAACGACGTGTAGGCGTCGACGCCGTCCCGTCGTCGTTCCCACTGCCGCCCTCGCGGGTAGCCGGAGGAAATGGAGGCGAAGGCGGAGTACCAAGCCGCCCTTGAGGAGGCCCTGCAGCACGCGCTGGAGGCTAGCCCCCTCAAGGAGGACGCACACTGGGATGGGCTGGAGCAAGCCCTTGCCCTGTCGGCGGCAGGGGACTCCGTCCACACCCCGCTCTTCGTGCCGCCACTGCCACCGCCGCCGCCCATCGAGCCTGATGTCGCTTGAAGCTACGTCGGTATTTCCCCAAAGAGAAAGGGATGATGCAGCACAACGGCGGTAGGTATTTCCCTCAGATGTGAAACCAAGATTATCGAACCAGTAGGAGAACCAAGTAACACAACATAAACAACACCTGCACACAAATAACAACTTCTCGCAACCCGACGTGTTAAAGGGGTTGTCAATCCCTTCTGGGGTACGGTGCCTCAAGATAGGCAAACAAATGTGAGGAAAATTTGTAATAGATTGATAGATCGAACGCCAAATAAAATAAATAAGAATAAATTGCAGCAAGGTATTTTTGTATTTTTGGTTTAATAGATCTGGAAATAAATGCAAAGGAATAGTAGATCGTAAAGGCAAATATATGAAAAAGAGACCCGAGGGCCGTAGGTTTCACTAGTGGTTTCTCTCGAGAAAAATAGCAAACAATGGGTGAACAAATTACTGTTGGGCAATTGATAGAACTTCAAATACTCATGACGATATCCAGGCAATGATCATTACATAGGCATCACGTCCAAGATTAGTAGACCAACTCCTGCCTGCATCTACTACTATTACTCCACACATCGTCTGCTATCCAGAATGCATCTAGTGTATTAAGTTCATGAAGAAACAGAATAATGCAATAAGAACGACGACATGATGTAGACAAGATCTATCTATGTAGATATAGACCCCATCGTTTATCCTTAGTAGCAACAATACATACGTGTCGGTTCCCCTTCTGTCACT